CAGTAAAAACTCCAGTGCCTTCAACAATGGAGATTTCACTCTTTTTGGATTGTTCTGCTACTTTTAATCTTAAGGGATAAATGACTATTTTATTTATAACCTTAGTGAAAGAACCATAAAATAATTCAAAACAGCAATTAGCTACACCTAGTGAAAAAGTAGGATTAAAATCAAAACCACAATATAGTAAGGACTCCTTACCTGAAATGCAGCAGTACTCAGACACTCACTGCTCTCCACAAAAATGTAGAACTCGCGTTACTTTCAGATGTAGCTGTCAAAGAAATAAAAATTCAGTCTTAGTCTCTTGGTGTAGTGTACCAAAGGAAATCTGCTTCTAGGAATTGACATAATGAACCTTGTGTTTCAATTAAAATAAATTTTTAATAACTGACTTTGTTTCCAAAAGAATTTTAAGTTCAGACTTCAAGCACTGATAAAAAAGTCTGTATTTGTGTTCAGTTCTCAGTTTCCACCTGTATGGAAAACCTACATCTGGGTGAACTGTAAATACGACTTGGGATACTCTAAACAGCCAACTAATACATCTGTTCTCAAACAGCAAAACCTTACAGTTCCCTGCAGAACTCCAAGAGCAGTCCAGGTGTCCCAGCTGGGGCTGCAGGCACTCCAGGTTACACAGAACACTTTGGGAGTGCTGTTCTGCAGGCCTGCACAGCTTTGTCCCCAAGGCACAAAGTGTCTGTCCCTGCCTTAAGAGGGACAGCACCTGCACATCACACCAGCAACGGGAGCAGGAGGGAGCCTGGCCTCTCTGCATGCCCTGCAGTAAGCAGAGCTGGTATTTCACTGCTGCACCACTTACAACTGCTGCTGACATGGGACAATGGAAGCATTTCTTAGTGCACTGAACAGAAAATATTTTGACAGCACAAGGGTTTCTTCAGTTTCTAAATCATGATTCTTTTTGTTATGGGCCCATATCAGTTATTGTAATGTTCAGCATTTCATAGCAATGGATTACCACTACTGCCAAGACATTAAATTACTTTACCAAAATGAGAAAAATACAGTGCATGTAAGCAAAATGAAAAAAAAAGTTTCAAAATTCAATTCTTGTCTAACCTTTCCCTTCAGCTTTGTTATTCAGAGGAGAGTTTGCTTTCTTCTCTCAGAAATTAGTACAGAGGAGAAATAAAAGTGGTGGAGAAGGGAGAGTGGATTTCAGCATGAGTGCTGCCAGCCTGATTTGGGGTGGGTTTTTTTTTACCCACCCCAAAACCACTGTCATCTGCTCTGTATCATGTGTGTTTCACCCCAGTGTGAAATTACAGTGGTCAGAATAATTCTGAATTCCTTTTGCAATGGCAGCCAAGTACTATTGCTCACAGGAGAGGTGAGGAGAGAAATGGCAAGGGATGTTTTTCCTAAAGCTTTTAATGAATTATTGTCTTAACTTACTCAGTCAGACCTGTAAAATCTGAAGGCTGGGATGTTGCATCTCCATGGAAAATGCTGAAAGAGCAAAAGTGAAGTTAGGCAAAAATAAAACCGGTTTTAGTTTGGGGTTGGTTGGTTTGTTTGTTTTACCCGTGAATCTTTATGTACCGCTTGCTGTGCGCTGAAGAGTTTGCAGCTACATCTCTCTAAGTGAAATGGACTTAAATGCTCAATGAATATTTTATCAGGCTTTCATTTATGCCAAGTTTCATTTCTTTAGTTTTCCTGGATATGAGACCTTGAAGAGCCTGCTGAATAACTGAGATAAAATCATCCATGTGAAGACATTCTTGAGTACATCGGTTTTATAGAACAGATTTCCACCAAACTGTACAGTCTTACTGGCATTGAGGTAGAAAAAAAAACTGCTCTCTAAAGCCAAAAAAAAGGAAGTGAAACGTATGGCCTGATTGTTGCCATCTGTAGTACACATCTAAGAACATCTAAAAGCTTCTCCAAAATTCTGAATGCAGTTAAAACCCCACCCCAACACAACCTTCCTCTTGAGAAGGCAAATGCGAGATGCATCAGAAAGGTGAAGGGATAGGTAGACAGAAGGACACAGCCAATGCTGTGGGCAGATGGCCTAAAGGGCAGCAGTAACTGAGTGTCCCTGCACCTCAGTGCCTGTTGTGACTCAGCCCAGCCCCAGGTAAGGCAGCAGAACCCCAGGTCAAACACCCTTGGTGGGCCCTAGGTCACTGCCTCGCAGCAGGGGACACTCAGAGCTGTTTCTCACAGCTTGGGGTCAGGGTACCCGCACGGCTCTTTGTGGCTCAGGGCGTCTTCTGCAGAGATTTAATGCCATGGCAGAGGATCAGTTCCTCTGGCGTGGCAAGGGGCAGGGGAATTCTGCCTCTTGGAACAGCTCTGCAGTTTGGCTTGGAGTCAGGCTTTGGCTCTTCAGCATTTAAAAGGCTGGAGGTGTCCAGCAGGACAGGTGTCCCCTCCCAGAGCCTGTGTCACACTGCGAGGCTGACGTGGCTGCTACTGGGTTTCAATTAGAGCCTCATCAAAACTAGGCACGCCTCAAGTGTTTTTGCTGCTTATAGTAGATACCTATGATTATAGTTTAGAAAAACAATAAAAATGCAGTTTCCTTGATCCCAGTGGTGGGGTGAAGGAGCCCTAGACTGTTCCACAGCCGATTTGAGGAAGAAGCAGCAGGGGGCAGGAGGAGGAGGAGGTAACTGTTCCATTTCCACCGGAGAGGAAAGGCCAGCTGAGTTCTACTGCTCACCTCAGCATTCTCCATGTTCCACACTACACACACTGAAGTCACAATAAAGAACAGCTGAAGTTTTGTAGCATCCTTCCTGGATGCTACCAGTTTCTTCAAGAAGCCTTTTCCCTGCCATGCACACAAGAATTTATTTCACTGGCCAACCTGCCACCCCTCCTCACATGCGTCTATCACCCAGCAACTTTAAAATGGTGGAGCAGTTACACACATTGCAGTCACGGGGAGACTTAAGGGAAGAAACTTCCTTTGAAGCCCATTATCATCTGCCACAAAACCAAAACCATCCTTTTCTTTGTCCCAGCAGCTTCATAGTGGTTTTACTATGCCAGTGCTGGAAAAGGGACTGTTAGGGTAGAGGGAAAAAAAAGTTATTCAAAACTTTCAAGAAGCTGTCAGGATTATGATGATGTCAGCTGTTCTAGATAGCAATAGATAATTGAAATTTTGTGTGTGCAGAGGTGTGTCTGTGTATAACCAGTCCTCAGGTTAGCATAAAAAAAGTTCCTATGAAGCTGTGTCTCCTCCTGCTCCAGAAAACACTGTGTGACAGTATGCAGCAGTGAGGTGTGGCCATGGCCTCTCTCCATCTGCCCCGAGCTAGGGCTGCCCTTCAGGGCAGCTTACCTGGAAAAGGGGTGCATGGCAGAGGTGTTGGGAGTGTGGGACAGGAATTCTGAGCAAAACCTTCCCCACAGCCTGCAGCTTTGGGAAATTGTTTGTTTCACATGTGTTAGATGTATAAAGAAGAGTTTGAAATTTGGGAGTCAGCATTGGGGGTGCACTGAAGTTAACATCAGAGTGGGTGACAGCAGCTGTGCTGCTGAGGGGCTGTGCAGCCCAGCTTCGTGATCAGTTCATACATGCCAGTCCCCAAACAAACACACCCTCCTAGAGGTGCCTGCACCAGGGGCACTCTGCCTCTGATGGCAGCAGTGCCCTGCAAACGCCACTGGCTGCTGGAGACTGGCAGCCCTTTCTAGAAAGTTCACGTGCTGCAGTACGGAATGAACTTTAGAGGTCATCTGGTAGATTTGACACCTTTTCTTGGGGAATTGAGATAATTTCACTCTGCCATCGTACATAAGTGTGCATTCAACCAGATATCCTAATTTTATTATTTTTCTTCGTTTCCAGAGAGCAGCAGTGTGTGTTGTATTAACTGGAAGATTTTTCTGCCAGTTCAGAGGTGTTTCCAAATTGCAACTAAATCCAGCCTCTTGGCTGAATTTTCTATTTCTGCCTTATTCGTATTTGTGTTAAACAATCAGAATGAAGACAAACAATACTAACGCACCTTTCTCACCTGATCAGTTTTTTTGATCTGGCAAAGGGAGAAGTCCTTGAACCTCTCCTAATAACCCCATTTGTAAATCTGTACCTTGCCCAAGGCTCTGGGGTCGGGCTGGATGGCAAAGGACAGGATCACTCTGCCGCTAAACCCACACACAGCCCTTCAGTGAACTGGCTTCAGTGCTTTTACACAAATGTTTCAGCAAAGGGGATGTTCAGAAGATGAAGTGTGAGGGCTCTCCCCTTTTGAAGAGTAATCCTACTGTTTCTCCATCCCAGCCATGGAAGCTTCTTCAGTGCTCCTGTTTCCTGTCCATGAGCAGTGACAGAAGACACCCCTCCTGTGGCACTGGTATGGCTGTGCTAGATGCTGGGGAAGGTGATGGGCTTTGTTTGTTCTGCATTCTGCCCTTGGGTGGCACTCTCCAAGCAGCTGGAGAGGCCACACAGTCACTGGGATTTCTGTGGGTTATCCCACTTTCAATATCCCATACAAATCTTGGCTGCTGAGAAGAGGTTCAGCAGCTTTGACAGAGCCAGAGCCAGACACTTCAGAGTATCTCAGCCCTGCTCCTGAGCACCTGTGGGAGCCTGGAATGGGACAGGAGCAGCTGGAGGCCTTACCTAGTGCTGAAACAAAGGAAGCAAGGGGTCACATTTTCACAGCTCTTCTTCAAGTTGGTTTCATTAGTAATTGCATCAGTAGTAATTGCAATAGGACCCTGCAGACAAGCATCAAGAATTCCTGTTAAAGAAAAAAACCAATTAGAATTAGCTTCCAAAGCATTTATATATTCCACCAGCATGAATTTCCATACATCACAATAAATCTGAGCAGCAGAGCATGAGCACAGTGATCAAACACACAAAAGGAAAATGTGGGAATTATGGTTTAGTCTCTGGTAGTCTTGCTTTTAAACTGGTGTTTATTCCTGTGCCTACTGTGGTTAAAAGCACTTCTGTGGTTAAAAGACTTCTAGGCTGGTGTTTCTGTTTCCTATTGCAGCTGGACAGCGTCACTTCACTAATTCAGGCTGCCAAAAACTTAATGAATTCTGTGGTGCAGACAGTGAAGATGTCCTATATTGCATCCACAAAGATCATCAAGATTCAGAGTCCTAATGGCCCACGACATCCAGTTGTGATGTGGAGAATGAAGGCTCCAGAGAAGAAGCCCCTGATTAAAAGAGAGAAGCCAGAAGAAATCTATGCTGCTGTCAGAAAAGGTTCTGCAAAGAAGAGAATCCATCCTGTGCAAGTCATGAGTGAATTCAGAGGCAGAGAAATAGTCTAATATTTTGCCACTATGTTTTCTTACCTCGAATTTCCCATGATATTTCATCTTTTCCCCTACTTACTTAATAATTATATATGTCAATATTTTGCTCTAAATCTGTAAGATAACACTTGCTTAAATTATTTGAAAGTGCTCTTGGATTAGTTAGAAGCACACAGTTGAAAATAATACAGATTCCCCTGCAGTGGCAAGCTCAGGTGTCTCTGCACGGCTGGGCCCATGCTGCAGTGGGGAGGGGGCAATGTGCCAGGTGCCCAAAGCCTCAGTCACCAGGCCTCAGGAGCCCCCCCAGCAGGGGACAGAGTGGCCCCACTGCAGTGGGTCTGTGGTGTGACACACAGGGTTCCTAACTGGGCCAGGTCCCCCATGGGCATCATCACCCCGTGACCAGGTCGGCTGAGCCCAGACTCTGGGCCCTAAAGCTGGTTCCAGACTGCAGCATCCAAAGACTTGTCTGTGGCCAAGACCACGCCTTGGAAATGTAAGCTTGAAAATGTTTGATGAAACACACAAAGTGTTGGAACAACATGGATGTAATCATGTAGTAAAGAAAGCACTGCAAGCAGCAGGGGTGACAGCTCTTCAGAAGGCCTTTGGAAACATGAACAGGAATCTGTGTTCTGCTCCCTGCTCTCTCCTGTGAGCCCCAATAAATCTGCTGGCTGTTGTATTTGGCAGTTCAGATAAATCAGACATTAACAATAATAAACTTTACTAATTGCTGCACGAAAGAAGATAAATAATTATTCTGAGACAAGTATGTGAAATACACATATCTTGAATCTTTGGAATGGGGAGACTTTTCCAAAGCAAATGCAGGGAATGGCTTTACTTCTGACAGACTTTGTAAATGCAGAACTCTGCTGGTGAGTGCTGAATGGCTGCACTCCAAGTGTGTCATGAAGGTAAATCCTGCTAGTCCAGATGTCTCCAATGTACTTAAGAAAAACTAGGTTTTTAAAATACTTTTGAATCTGAAATCCACTTGGATTATTTTTTTTAGAAGGATCTAACTTGCCTTTTTGCCATGTCATGAATTCTTCCCAGACTACATTTGTTACTCAAGATGTCTTTGCTTAGCCATTCTGTAGATCCTTTGGCGTGGCCTTCTACATTTGCTAAGGTGGAAGGGCTTCCTCAAAAGCCAGAGCTTCCTGTGTGTCACTGACTGTCATTATGGGATGGCTCCACATTCTGGGCCTCTGCTCCAGGTCCTTTATTATCATACTTGCACAGCAGTGCCTGACCTAGCCCAGTGTGGGCAGCAGGAATAACCCCAAACTGTGCCTTTCCTCTTGGGGCTGCTGTGTTTGCAAGCTCAGGACACTGAGGCAGGGCAATTTCTGGGCGGCTGGTTATAAAACCCTGTGAAACTACAGTGCTCATGAATTAAAAATTCTACAGATCATTCTTCCACCTTGCCTAACCTTGCAATCAGTTAAATGGAACAGAAGGAGGAGTTTGGAAGAAAATCACCTTTTTCCAACTCCCGTTCTCTCCAGCATGTTTGCAGCAAGATGTCAATAATGTCTCCTGCCTTTGCTGCTCCTCCCAGGGCTCCAGAGGCAGCAGGTAAGCTGACACAGCCTTGTGAGCTGCTCTGGGGGTATGACTGTCCTGAAACCCTCCTGTCTCCAGGTTACACCTTTGATCCTGGTCACCTTGATGTCAAGCATTTGTAATAATGCCTTGGTACCACGTTATTAATAAAAAAGCACGTACACCCCTGAGAAGCTGTCGTCAATGTTGTGGGATTTTTTCAGTGTGTTTGAAGTTCAAGACCTGCCAGGTGTGCTCACAGAAGCACCAGCCTTCCTTCCAGCACACTGTGTGTGCTCCATTAGCTGCTCTGCAGGAGAGTTTTCCAGCACCAGTATCACTAAAGCACATTTTACTGCTTCATTTCAGGCTCCTTCCTGCACTGCCAGTCCGTGCTCCTTCCCTGGCCATGCTCAGTAGCCAGTTTGATTTCAACACAGCAACTTATTACATAAAAAACACCCTCTAAATGAACAAGGAATTTAAAACCCCACTGCAGGCTGTTGAGAAGAGCCAAAAGAGCAATAATCAAATCTTGACTAAATTATCTTGGGTCAAATTCAATCCCAAGTGAAAGAGTATTCCTGGCTAAGGAGGCAGAGGGTAAGAAGTCCTGGAGCTGTAAAACGCCAGCTCATCATCCTTCAGCCAGTCTGGGAAGCAGGGTACACCACTTCCCTGCCACAAGGGAGAATTCTGAAGGAGGATTAACTGCTCAGTGTTTCTCCTAGCAGCTCCTCATTCTTCCTGTGATCTCCTTATTCCCTGCTAGCCCAGCTTTCAGAGCATAACTTCTCCCCAGTTTCTGCCTGCCCCTCACCAGCACCTCCCCTCACACTGTGCCCTCAGCCTGGCAGAGCTGCAGCTTTCCCCCCTCAGCAGCTGGGATTATTTCATTAGCCTGCCTTGGCCTCTCCCCATGACCACATCGTGGAGCAAAGTGTGATGGATGACTGAAGGCAATTTTGTATTAAAAATTTTCTTTAGAGCACTAGAAAGTGAAGTCCCATTGCTGAAGCCCATTAGTTTGAGAGGACAGGTCTGCATCATTTCCACGAATCCCAAAGCTGTTGAGGTTGGATTTTTTTTGTTTGCCTTTTTTAAAATTCTTTTTAAAATAAACAACCAATGTGCTTTTTCTCCCAGCATAGCCTGGTACCACTAGGGAAGCTCTATAGCTGCATCTCTACTAAAGAACACAACTAAGCAGCTTGACATCGGGCCAGGCACGGTGTTTTAAAAGTCCTGCAGTGATTTCTGAAAGGCTTGTGTCCTTTATTCTCTGTGAGTCTGCAGCTGGAGTATTTGAGAAAAGTATGCTGCTTAGAAAGTTCTTTCATGAGCCTTTAAAAGTTTTCTTTCTGACAACAACAACAAAAAAAGTCTCTATCAGCAGTAGATAATAAAATTCTATGTAAAACCTGTTTTTGTTTCCAGATATTGCTTATCCCTTGTGTGTTGCTCCCAGCTGAACACTGGGAACTTGACAGTATGTTAGGCTCAGGAAATGAGATAAATAAACCCCTGTGCCTCAGCTGTGGCTGCAGCCAGGGGTGGTGCCTGTTCCTGCATCCCAGCCCTGCATCCCAGCAGCCTGGACAGCAGCTCTCGGACCCCCGAGGACCCTCCCCAGCCCTCTGCTGGGCTCCCACCTCCTGTCCTCCCCACAGAATCCTCTGCATCCCACAGCCCTGCCTGGAACACCGAGGGAGCTCTGCCAGGGTACCGCAGGTAATGAACCCCTAATGCCCCTGGGGGCTGGGAGGAGAGCAAAAACACTCATCTGATATTGTCCAGCAGAGGCAATGTAGCATATGAGTAGAGTAATTAAATAATAATTAAAGATCAAGCAGATCGCTCTCTCTCTCCCCAAGGTGATCAGTGGGCTTGGTTTTTGCACAACTGCTTCTTAAAGGCAAGAAAATGCACAGGCAGTGTTAATTAAAAAGCCATGGATTTTGTGTTGTGCGCTGGAAGCCGTGTTGCTGCACTGAAAAATACTGCCTTTCAAATAATGACCCACAACTCACTGCAAACTTGCTTGGCATAAAGAAAAAATATATCCAAAGCAGAAATGGCAAACAAACCATGAAAATACTTTAAAGCTCCTGATGTCTCTCATCAACAGGAGGAATGTGCTGCTGTGGTCCAAGGAACTGGAAGCTGAGCAACTAATTTTTGGCTCCAGCCTAAAAGCAGTAGTTAAGATGAAAGTTTGCACTGCAAGAGGTGGATGTAACAGTTCTAAGGAGGTTTTTACTGGATAGGAAATATTCACATTATACTTCCTGATGGTGAAAATGACTGTGTTAAGGCAGGCTGGAGACCACAGAGATGCCCTGTGCAGGATGATGTTTCCTCTCTACTCTCAAATCTTTATCAGCTTGGTCATTTTAGAGCCATTGGCTTTTCTGCTGCAGTTTCCAGTTTCCTCCATAGAAGGCAGCATGTGACTCAAGCAGCTGCCAAGACCCCACAGCTCAGGATCTGTGGGTCAGGCACTGTCTTTCCAGGGGGTGGAGGGTTAAAGCCTCTGTGCCTTGGCTGCTTTGTTCCCAGAGCTCCCTCACTGGATGGAAACAGGATAGGATATTGCTCCTGCACTTTGTACCATTCTCAACCAGCCAGCATGGGAGACACTTTCCTGGCTTTCCTGGTGGGTTTTTTGCTTCTCTGGTGGAGGAAGAGACATTTAAAGCAATGATTTCTCCAGGAAGGCAGAATCTCCCTAGAGTAAAGGCTTTCCAAAGAGGACAAAACAGCAAAAGGCTCTTTTCTGCCTTCCATGACCTCTACAAATCCAGTCTAGTCCTCTCAGACAGCACTCAGGGCTGGGGCTTTGCAGCTTGCTGGGGGTGTGGTCCTAATGAAAATAAATAAATAAAACTAGTTCAGTTTGCTGTCAGGAAGGTTTGCATTGGTTTCTCTAAGAGAACATCTGGGGGCATATTGCACAATTTATATTTAGCTCATCTGCACTTAGGAGCAAGTTGAGGACAGAAAAGAGAGGACTAGAGCTCTGCTGCTTTACATCTTGGGTACAAATTCAGAGGGGAAATGTAGGTTAGATGTGGGGAAGGAATTCTGAACTGTGAGGGTGGGTGGTGAGGCCCTGGCACAGGGTGCCCAGGGAGACTGTGGTGCCCCTTGACCCCTGGAAGTGTCCAAGGCCAGGCTGGATGGGGCTCAGAGCAGCCTGGGACAGTGGCATGTGTTGGACAAGATGATCTTCAAGGTCTGCTCCAACCCCTCAACCTGATTCTGTGTGGATTACACAGGTGCACAGACTTCATACAGAAATAGTAAACACAGACAGGCAGACCCCAAGCACGCACTGCAAACCATCTGCCTTTAATGTTGGGGGAACTTGGCTGACATAAAAATAACCCTCTCTTATTTATCTATTGATTTAATTATATAGTTTACCTGTTATGGATTTTATATCTATTATAACACACATTAGTAGTGGCTGTTATAACACATTCATAAAATATGAATAACAAATCAATGCAATTATTTTAAATTATTTTATTTATTATTTTAAATTAAAAATACAGATATATTTATAGTTAAATGTATTTATGTAATTACACAATATTTAGTTACTGATAAACTGAAGTTGTTAGAATTCATAGCAAGCACACAGAAGTACATTAATGTTTCACTTTATAAAGGTGCAGCATCTCAGACACTCACCCTCAATTTTCTGCTTTTGAATTATTCTGACAGGGAAAAAAATGGCTGCATCTTAATGGCAAAAGTATAGCAACTGCATCTGGTCAGTCAGAAAGCAAATGGGAACTTAAGCCCCCAGCAGTTAAAAATAAGCATAATAATAATTATGAATGACAGAATAATTATGTCTGCAAACCTTTGAAGAGGTTGAATAGGATATCCATATCTATTACACTATAAAAAGAAAGGGAAATGAGACAACTTTTTGGCTCAGGATGAACTCTATTATCACTGAAATAATTTCTGTCTAGCTGCAAGCATTACACAAGCCAATATAATTTCAAGTAGTTGTTATGTTAACAAGAATGACTAAGATGCTTCACCTCCCCCAGCATCCTGTCCTTCACCTGCTCTTCCTTATTTCCCCCCCCGGAAGAACCTCTTGTTCTCAGGGTTCTGGAATGAATACAGCATATACAAATGTACTGACATTTCAGAGACTGTATCCATCCTGGAGACTCCATCTGAAGCAGTTACTGTGAATTAAACTCACAATCTTGGCTAAAAATAAACAGAGTATAGACAACCCTGTCACTGGAATGAAATTCAAGACTCAAACCTGCCAAACTATTCCATGTTCACTCCTCTTGTCCCAGGCCTTCTCTATTCGATTTTGCTTTTTTAGCTTGTATGTAAGGCACTGCCTGCATTAGATATTCCCAGATATGGATCTCACAATAAAATGGGTTCCATCTGTGATCAAAACAGAAGTTGGGCTTTTTTAAAATCCAGTCACAAGCCAAACTCTGTTATAATTCCCTGGAGCTGGGTATCCAACGGAGACAAAACTTTACGGTGCCAGTCTCCTCCACGCCTGTTCCAGTACCTCTAACAGTTCCAGCTGCTGTGCCCCTGGGCACAGCTCCATCTTCCCACTGCCCTGCTCACAGCAGTCTCCTTGGGCCTTCCCAGCTGTGCCCACTCCCTCTTTGGCACCTTCACCTGGAGTGTGGAGCCTGTGGGCTGGCAGAACACTGTGCGGGTGCCAGTGGCCATCCTGGCTCTCCTCTGTGCTGCTGCAGGAGAGAAAGTGTGCCCCTTTGAGCGCAGGGGAAAAGGGGAGAAAAGGAAAAGTGACATTTACAACACATGGAAAAGTTCTGGTTTGTAATTCCATTGTTAAGGTAGCATTTCCCAAGGGGGCAGAAGTGCTGCTTTCCTCCTGAAATGCCTCGGGGGGTGTTTCTTTGCATGGAGCTCCTCCTACATGTGGCCACCTCGTACTCAGCACTTTGAGGCCACCAGTTCATTATCAGCATGCAGTAAGGATTTGAAAGCCAACAACCACCTTCCTATGGAAGCTCACTTTTCATTTTCACTGGACTGCTCATTAAGAGACTCAAGGGACATTGTGCTTGTCACAGAGGAAAAGGCAGTGCTAGGACTGACACATCCCAAGCACTGGATAACAAACACTCTCATGGGCCAACCTGCTGGAAGCAGATGAGTTGGAACAGCACTCAGATCACTTTGCAATGCTTTTAATATTTCTATTCTTTATACATGTCCAATATGTACTTGATTCCATCCTTGCTTCCTGAGTGAAAGGTTTTCCTTTGTCCTGTGAAATCCATATGATCCCAACCTGCTCATGCCCTCCTGCTTGTCTAACCTAAGGGACACAGAGAGAGAGAGAGAAACTCCCCCTATTTCTTCAACATACCTCACTGGATGGAAACAGTGAGGTATGTTGAAGAAAGACAGATTTTCCCTTGTAGACAGATTTTCCCTTGTAGTTACCTCTCCTTAAATGAATGAAAG